AACTTCCTGGAGAATTAGACTTACCCAATATGTCCGTGCGTCATGTATGTTCCTTTTCTCTAGATAATCCTCCCATGCCCCTAGAAAGGGCAGTATGTCATTGCCATAGTCCTTAGCCATATTGAACACAGTTTATTCGCGTTCTTAAAAAAAAAAGTACAACAGTACTACTACTACGACTACTACACACCGCGCGTTAAACACAACAACAAATAAAAAAAATATACACACACCCCGTCTCCGTCAACGCTTCTCGCGTCAACGCTTCTCCCGTCAACGGCTCTCCGTCAACGCCTCTCCGTCAGCGCCTCTCCCGTCAACGCCTCTCCGACACCGCCCCTCCGTCAACCAAGTCTCCGTCAACGCCTCCCCTGTCACCCTGTCTCCGTCAACGTTTCTCCGTCAACGCTTCTCCGTCAACGCTTCTCCCGTCAACGCCTATCCGTCACCCCCTTCTCCGTCACCCCGTCGCCGTCACCGCGTCTCGCGTCACGCTTCTCCGTGAACGCTTGTCCGTTACACCGTCTCCGGGTCACCGCCTCTTCCGTCAACGCCTCTCCCGTCAACGCCTCTCCCGTCAACGCCTCTCCGTCAACGCCGTCTCTCCGTCAGCGCCTCTCCCGTCAACGCCTCTCCGTCACACCGTCTGCGTCAACGGCTCTCCGTCACACCGTCTGCGTCAACGGCTCTCCGTCACACCGTCTCCGTCAACGCCTCTCCCGTCAACACCTCTCCGTCAACGATTCTCCGTCAACGTCTGTCCGCGTCACCCCGTCTCCGTGTACGATTCTCCGTCACCGCGTTCTCCGTCAACGCCTCTCCCGTCAACGCCTCTCCCGTCAACGCGTCTCGCGTCAAGGCTTGTGCGTGCGGCTGCCGCCGTGTTGGTGCGGTCAAAGAAAGGGCGGAAAAAATTACACTACAGTACGTACTCCCTCACAACGCCATAACAAATAACTTCCGACCTAAGTCATATCAACCCACATGTTCTATATACATTTAACCTCTACAACCGTATCTGTATAGTCATGTTAAAAGAAGTTGACTACATAACAAGAAAGAAAACAAGGCAAAAGTAAGCACAAAGAAACAGAAGAAAGCAGAACAGAGCAGCAAAAAAAAAAAAAGACGGTATGGAATAGTGCAAACACGAAATATATTATGTATAGCACATAATGAAGTAAAAGTGCTCTAATGTTAGCATGCGTTATGGCGCATGCATATGCCCCGTCATACTAATGTCGCATATTCTGTAATAAAGCATCCACATATAACTCCCTATCCTGCAAACTGCGTTCGACTTCGCTCTCTTCTATGACGAATGCCAGGATCAGTATCCATGTTTTAGCGGTGAACGGTTGTTTCATGTAAGGTTGCCGATGCAGTGGTTGCATGCGTGGTGCATCTCTCACTCGTAGCACATGTTCTGCTGCCATTACAGTTTCCACGTGTAAGTCGTGTCCCACGCCAGGTATTTGGCCTTTGTACGATACTGTCTCCTCCTGTACATTATTCAACAAATGTTGAAACCACGCCTCCTCACAATACATACGCACTTGCGCATGTTGTGTTGCAACCCACGCTTTCCATGCTTCCAATTTCTGCGTTTCCATGGTTGCGGCTTTCCTGTGCTCACCGGATGCAGCGTTTGCCGCCATGTGCTCACGCAGGTATTGTTGCCAATGCGCTTTTAATTGCAAAAACCACGGCTGCCGCGTGCACTGCTGCAATAGGTGCTTGTGCCGGTCAATCCAAAGGATGCATTGGGTGCAGTCGGACGTCGCGTGCTCGGGGTTGGAATGAGCATTCTGTTGTGCATCTAACTGTATGTTTTCCATACAACTGCATGCATCGGGCTCCTCTTCGTTAGGGCGACAAGGGCCCGTAGCTAACTGTATGGTTTCCATACAACTCCACGGATCTGGGTTGTCTGCGTTAGGTGCACAAGGGTCCGTTGCTAACGGTATAGTTTCCATGCAACCCCATGGATCGGGGTCGTCCTCATTCGGTGGACCAGGTTCCGTTGCTAATTGTATGGATTCCATACAACTCCAAGGATCCGGGTCATTCGGTGGACAAGGGTGCGTTGCTAACTGTATGTTTTTCATACAACTCCATGGATCGGGGTCATGAGGTCGACAAGGGTACGTTTCTAACTGTATGGTTTCCATACACTTCCATGCATCGGGGTCATTCGGTGGACATGGATGCGTTCCATCCGAGTCACTGGGTGGATTGAGGGTGGACGAAACATTGTTCCCTGATAAAGCCTGGTTTGAGGTAGAGACACCCAAGATATTGTTATTCGTGTCCACGTCCTGCTGCAAGTCACGCGCAAACTCGTGCACGACAATCTTCCAATAGTCGTCTTTGACGTTTTCCCATTCCGTTGCTTCACATTCGTTGAGCACCTCTAGATGTAGCTCGATGATCGTGCGTGTATGCACGCGTGGATGACGTCGTCGTCGGCCGGCAGCAGATGCGCCCCGCGTATCCCTAACCATCGTGTACGCGTAATCGGGTGGCGGCAGTTCGGCGCGTTGTAGATGTTGCAATATTTCTTCGTCGAGTGGCTGTGACGGGACGTCACGAACGGTTCGATATGTTCGTCGTCGTTTGGCGAGGAAGGCCCAATACTAAGCAGAAAAAGGGGGGTAAAGAGGAGGGTGAGGACGGTAGGATAAAAGGAATGAACGCGGGTGTAGGGGCATATTGGTTAGAACGATCATATATTGGTGCGCGTAGGGAGTTTCTGAGGTATAAACATCCTGCACATGCGGGCATGCCCTGATTGCCATATATACTTACCTTCCATAGGAAGAATGCAATGATGGCAATACCAACCACCGCGGGGATCAGCGCGGGGGTGTAGGGGATGAGATCCTTGGGGTCGTAGGGTTTCGATGGAGGGGGAACAAAGTGAGCTACAGCATCATCCGCCGCCGTGGGGGGTGATGGCTGCACTGGTGATGGTGCTGATGTGTCCGTAGATGACGACACAGGTGATGTCTGCTGCCCTGGTGGTGTCGCTGATGATGGTCGTCCTGCGGGGTGCGTGGGTGGGGCTGGCACAGGTGTTGATGATGATCCTGATGATCCCTGTGCTGGCGAGGTTGGTGTTGCTGCTGGTGCTGCTACTGCGGGTCTAGGAGATTTCTCAGTAGAATCGTTACCTGATAATTTGGGTGGAAAGACGAAAATGAAGTGTGTGAGTTGCATGGTTGCCCATGGTCGTTGACCACGGTTCTCATGGTCGGCCGCTGATGGTTGGCCACATGGTTGCAACCAATCGTTGATTGCGCCGTTTCACGGTTGACCACACGGTCGGTCGCTGGATGGATGGTCCCACGGTTGTTGTAGTCCGTCGCTGATGGTCGGCACCATCGTGCCACGGGGACGGCGGGCCAGGAGAAGAACGTTGGTTGGCAGGGTGCCACCCCGGGAAAAGACTCTCTCTCTGCCACACAACACACACAACACACACAACACGCAACACAGTGTGTATGTGTCTGTCTGTCTGCTTCGACGTCTACGTCTACATCCCGCGGCCGACCCATCGCTGTTGCCCCCGTGCATTCTTATGCGACGTGTGGTTTTGCTCGCTGCCGCTGTCTCTGCGGAAATTGTGGATGTCTGTGATTTGTGTGCTCTGTTTGATTTTGTGGTCGACATGCACTCAGGACACTACCGTCGTGTGTTACACTCCCTCAAGGCTGTACCGTCCTTGTTCTTGTCTGCCGCCTCCAGGAGTTTTTTGCCTTGTGATGTCAGCCCCAGATCACTGTCTGAGGTACTGCCGCAACTAATGGAGACACCTGTAGATGTGCCGCTACTATCAGAACATGTGGTCTTACCTGGAGATTGTGCATCCGAATCCGCAGGCGTGTTCGCTGTGGACTTCGCGTCTGCCCCTGCTGCCTGTCCTCCTCCTTCTGGACCTTGTCTTGGTGTGGATGGTCTCCTGGGTGGAGGAGGAGGTGGTCTTGCTGGTAATACTGGAGATGCAGGTGCTTGTGGTTGGGACGCCTCTCCTCCTCCGGCTGTTGTATCTGCCCTTCCTACTGGTTCTAACCCTGGTGATGGTGATGGTGACGATGTCTTCTCTTCTTTCTTTGCCCCGTCTGGTTGTGCTACCGGTTTAGTTGTTGCCGGCTTCGTCGCCGCCGGTTTCGCTGCGCCTGCAATGAGGACAACGGAAGAAAGATGGTCGAAAGATGATAAAAAAAAAAAACGACACAAGTGGTACAGAAAGAAGGGGGCGGGACGGTTCGATCAGGTAGCGGCAGGGTGGGGGTCCGGCTCGATGCAGTGGGTCGATGCATGGATCGAGGTGGACTCAGTGGACTGGGTCAGGCGGTAGCAAGCGTACGGTGAGGTGGACTGCGTACGCGGTGAACTGGGCTAGATGGTAGCAGTACAACTTGTATGTTGTGGCCGTCATCTCCTCTCCGCTACCGCTACCGCTTCCGTTGTGGCCGTCGTCGTGGCCGTCGTCGTGGCCGCCGCACACCACGTCTACACTTCGTCGTCGCCACCGCTGCCGTCGTGGTCGCCGCTGTGCTCATCGCTCAACGAGGGGGTGCTGTGCTCGACTCAACGAAGGGACCGTGCTGTTCCGTCGTGTGTGCGTGTTCTGCCAGCCGTGTTCTGTTGTGGTGGCGGCGATCCATATGCGGACATGTCCGTATCGGGCCGTGTGAGTATGCGGCCGTGTGCTTGTTCTTACGAAACGTATTCTTACCGTCCGTGTGGTCCTCTGCACTCTTGGGTTCCTGCAGGGCCGGCACCTTCACAGTTTTTTTAGCCTGCTTCTCCGCCTCTTTCTTCACTTCCTTGACCGTGTCCTTTATCCTCTGCTGTATTTTATGCTGTAATTCACATGTCGTGTGCGATCCCGGGTTATGGTGCATGTCCTGTAACAGGTTCCATAACTTCGGAATGTTCTGAGGATCGCCCACCCAGCTTGCTATCCTTTTCATTAGCACAGCTGCCGCTGTCTTCACCGTCCCATTCTGATTACATTCCTCTTCACTGTGCGGTTTCTGGTCTTCACCAGCGTCGTCTTCAGCTTCCCATCCACATGTGCGCCCTGTGCGCGCTGCGCCTACGTCCGCACGCGCCCAACCTGTATTCAAGCCCTCTAATCCAATCTGCAACTTCTCTTGAATATTCCGCGATAGAAATATGATGGACCCAAAATTTATCTTCGCGCACAATCCCTTGTCGAATGTCTGCTGCGCCGGAAATGCTGTCCCCGTGTCTAACTCTTCGGAAACCCTGTTTATAAGTCCCTGATGATTTGTATGACGTCCATATAGCCGGAATAAAACCTCACTGCCTAGTATGCATTCTAAATACGCCCTAAAATTCCTGCTCCCGTTTTCCGGTATGGTCCTTTTTTCCCATTTTCCACTTTTCTTGTTGTAATCATACCCTCTCGTGTATAGCAGGATTTTCGTAATGTCCTGACATCTGTTACGGCATAATCCGTCATACGGTCCATTGTATAAGTGTCCACAGAAGCCGGAAATCGAAGCGTGACTTTCACCAATTTTGTGGATTAAGGCTCCAAAGATTTTATCAACCTCTTCCAATATTTTGGTCTGCGCATAGAACAAATTATATATGCATGCACACCGGTGGCTTTGTGTCCGTGGAACAGTCTAGTGCACCGATCTACAGGTGCCCTGCCGAACAATTGTGTCATGGGCGTGCACCCTATGCATGTCAATAATACCACTAGTAGTGTTGGGTACTCACGTAAATGTGTCACGCACACGTACAGGATACTGTTCCTAACGTATATATAGTATTTCCGTGGAATGTAGCATTCCTGTTTCTGGTTCAACGTGCTGCACTAATGAACTCACCCAATATGCCTTTGCGTCCGTGATGTGCATGTGCGTCAGATAATCATCCCATGCCCCTAGAAAATACAGTATGTCGGCTGCAAAAAGCCCAGGCATATTGAACACGTTATTATTCCCCTTCTTAAAAAAAGAAGTACGACTACTACTACTACTACTAGTACTACTACTGCTACTACTACTACTACTACTACTATTACTACTACTACTACTGTTACTACTACTACTACTACTAATACTTATACTACTACTACTACTACCTGTACTACTACTTCTACTAGTACTATTGCACCGCTCAATAAAGCACAACGACAAAAAAAAAATATACACACACCATCTCAGTTACCGCTTCCGTCACGCCTCTCCTGACTGCGTGTGCAAAGTCGTGATATTAGTACACAAACTACTACTTGTTTGCTTCTGTGCGCCTTCCGCTGTCCGCAGTCCTGCCGTCCTCGTGCCGTCGTGGTGGTAGAAGAAAGGAAAACAAAAAAGTACTACTACGACTACCGCACACACACAACGCGTCATTAATATACACTGCCCGCCCCCCTTTCTACACCGGTCTGCACTAAACGCCTGTCACACACACTGTCTCTCTGTGTGCGTACACCTAAAAACCGCCGTAACAACAACAATTCTTCTGCCGTCGTTGCTGCCCTCGTGGTCGCCGTCCTTCCCGGGGCTACTTGGTTGAATCGTTTACTCGAACGCCCTAATGGAACCGCTGCACGCGGCTACTTCGTCGAATCGGTCTTGCACTCGGACAATCCGTGTACCCGGGCCGCGTTTGCTCGGAGGGACAATCCTCCTGCTGTCTTACACGTGGCTACTGCGTCGAATGCGGCTTACCAGGGCACGTGGCTCGGAGAGACAATCTCTCCCGCCTTTCGTACACTCGGCTACAATGCGGTTTACGCGGCCACGTTTGCTCGGAGAGACAATCTGCTCCTCGTTCTTACACTCGGCTACGTCGTCAAATACGTTCACTCGGTGGCAATCCGTTTACGCGGCCGCGTTGCTCGGCGGCGCTTGCTCAGCGAGACAATCTCTCCTCGTTCTTACCCTCGGCACAATGCTTACACGCGGCCACTTCGTCGAATCGTTGTTACACGCGGCCGCGTTGGTCGACGCGTGTGCTCGGAGAGACAATCTCTCCCTCCGTTCTTACATTCGGCTACTTCGTCGAATCGTTCTTACACTCGGACAATGCCGTTTACCCGGGGCGCGTTTGCTCCGAGCGACAATCTCTCCTCCTTTCTTACACTCGGCTACTTCGTCGACAATGTGCTTTATCCGGCCGCGTTGGTCGACGCGTGTGCTCGGAGAGACAATCTCTCCTCCTTCTTACACTCGGCTACTGCGTCGAATCCTTTTTACACTGGGGCGCGTGGGTCGACGCGTGTGCTCGGAGAGACAATGTTCCGCCTGGTTACCCTGGGCACAATGCTTACTCGGCTACTTATTCGACAATCCCGTTTACCCGGCCACGTTTGCGCGCGCACAATACCGGTGCTGAGTGGGGCGCGTGGGTCGACGCGTGTGAGCGGGTGCTAGGTCGAATACGCTTTGCAGGCAGACCGATGGTGTGCTCGCGGAGGCCATATGCAGCAAGCGTGCACACACAAAACCATGAACGGATGCAATGGCGTGGACGCCAAAGATGACAAATGGTATGAGACGCAGTGGAAAATAAAAGATGTATGCGCGCGCAGGTGCGAGATGCAGGCAGCATGCAAACACAAAACCATGAACGGACGCAATGTCGTGGACGCCGAAGATGACAAATAGTATGAGAGGTAGTGGAAAATAAAATATGGAGGCGCGCGCAGGTTCAATATGCAGGCAATGGAATAAGCGCATGGAACGAACAACAGCCTTGAGGCGAATGCAAAAGCATAAAGAACAGAAGCATAAAAAACGCGAAGAGCGCGCAGACTAGGCGTAGAATGCCAAAAAACCAAAAAACAACAAACCCAAAGAGGCGTGCGATTCACGAAGTGAAATCGCGAAAAAAGCATAGGAATGCCATCCAAGGGTAAGGATACGTGACAAGAGTGAACAAAAGGGGCTGCGCAACATGAGCATGCAGGAATGCATATGAAAAAGGCGAAAGCGGCGCAAAAACTTGGCGCGCAAAGCAAGCATGCATCAAAAGGGAATGCAAAAGGGATGCAGTAGAAGGAGAGCAAAGAAATGAGGAAAAGGGGGGGAAAACAACGGGAAAAAAGAGAAAAAAGGAAAAAAAGGAAAACAAAGAGAAAAAAAGAGAAAAAAAGAGAAAAAAAGAGAAAAAAAGAGAAAAAAAGAGAAAAAAAGAGAAAAAATGAAAAAAAAGCAAAAAAAAAGATAAAAGGAGAAAAACGGAGAAAAAAGGAGAAAAAAATAATAAAATAAAATGACAAAAGCAGAAAAAAAAAGAAAACAAAAAGAATAAAATAAAAGAAAGGGGAAAAACAGGACATATGAACATGCGCGGCAGAAGAAAAAAGAGCGAAGGATATAATCGCACATTGAAAACTGAAGTAAAAAAGTAAAAGGCAGAAAGGCAGGTGCACAAAAAAGAAAACAACAAAAGCACCGAAAACAGGGAACAGCGGCAGCTCGAGGGTGATGAGAGGAAAAAAAAAACCAAAAAACAAAAAAAAACGAACACGTGCAGTAGCGCTACATGCATAAATGCGAAAGATAGAACAAACAGAAGGCCGCAACTGGATGCAGTGGCATATGGAAAAAGCGTGAAGGGTACGCGCGAGTGCGCGAGGCAATGGAGAAACGGCCATGGACAAGCGCATAGCGGAACAAGGCGCGGTGGTGAAAAAGATGGAGAAAAGCAGCAGCAAGCACGCGCGGGACTGCGTGAACAGGATTGCACGGAAACATACACAACCTCCAACTACGGCATGTAGAGGAGCAACAACCAAAAGCTCGCGAAGCGCGCAGTAGCAAGCGCCAAAGGGGAACAAAGGAGGTGCGATGGGAGCGGATGCTGCAAAAAGTGCGCAACGCGGCTTCAGTGCACTGCAAGGTCCGGGCACCGCGCGCACGTGAACAGAACCGGGTGCGGACAGGCAACGCGCAGGCACGGCGGCACCAGTAGGGCATGAAACGGTATGCGCAACAAGCGCAGGAGAACAGGAACAGAACAATGCTGCATGCATGCCGCACGTGTAGTGGACGCACCAGGAGCCCAATCACACGCGGCAACATGAGAGCAAAGAGTGGCGCACAATAGAAGGGATGACCAAAACCGTAAGGTACAACGTGCAGCAGCCAAGAACAGTGCACGAGGACATCAGGCGTGCAGTGCACTGCCCACGGCAGAGCACCAAGAACTTCGCGGCGTGCGCCGTGAACGCGCCTCGCGTGGTAACCGGCGGGCACGGAAGGCGCATGCATAAGATGCACGAAAATGAGCCGACCACGTGCGACACGCGCGCGGACTACGCGCAGGCGGTAGCAGAGTCGCAGCATGTGGTCGCCATGCGCGATAGAGTGGTGTCAGCACCGCACGCGCAGTATAGAACCGTGCGCCTGGACCACAAGGCAGCCTTGCGCACAAGCCTGCACCAGGCACCGGGCGGAACCGAACCACCACAGACGCAACACCACGCGCCAGGCCTCATATGCACCGCGAGTAGCGACACTACACGGGGCACCCGCGCGCACCCATCAGTAGCTGGAGCAGCATAATGTATGGTCCTCATGCGATGGCGAGCACGCTGCGCACGCAGGGCTCGTGTTGCCACGCCGTACGAGGTATTCATGGACACCACCGTGACGCATGGACATAACGCGGGGGCAACACAGCGCACACGCACATAGCACATCTTCGATCAGCGCAATGCACCATTGCCGAGAGAACGGCCCCGGCTCGGTGACGAGCATGAGTGTGCAGTACAGCGGGAATGAGTACGCGCGACGAGTTTACGAATTTATGCATAACGAATTATATGTGGACCATTGCTCAAAAAGATTTGAGCAGCTTCCGGAAGCACAGGTCCGGAGCCTGCCCTACCCTCGTTCAGCGGGGCTGTAACTGTAGATGCTGCTACACTTGGCCGCGTACCAACATATGGGTTCATATTACATGCTACACATCGTATGCTGTTATTATCGTGTACATAATAATAGTGCCAAAAAAGGGGGATATTATTGCATCGCCAGAATTTTTGAAGCGTTATAAGGAAAAACAATACACGCAACAACATTCTACATAGTACACAAAATCCCTTTATGTAATGTATTAGCAGTAATCATCACGTAGGTATTGTTACATTTTGGATATGAAATAATAGTTCCTTATATATGTGCAATATGGGGACCCTTTTCCCCTTTTTCTTCTAAATTGGGTTCCTCATCCATAATATCAATACATACTTCATCATATGAACAAATAATAAAACATAAACACAAACCATGTATATTGGTAAGAGCACAAACAACATTATAATGTAGAACACGCAACTATAGGATACATGCTTTAAAGGAAACATATGCCTATCACACAAAATCTGTACGACATGATGAGATTGTCGATCCTGTAACCAGACGAATAACATATCCTAACGTAAACATAATCTACGAGAAATAGAATACGGCACGTACTTATGGTTTTTTAGGTAATTTCAGTGACCACGGTAGTTTCAGCTTCCCCGGTGCTTTTTGCTTCTCAGCTGCTTCCTGTTTCTTAGGTGTTTCCGGTTTCTTAGGTGTTTCCTGTTTCTTAGGTGTTTCCTGTTTCTTAGGTGTTTCCTGTTTCTTAGGTGTTTCCTGTTTCTTAGGTGTTTCCTGTTTCTTAGGTGTTTCCTGTTTCTTAGGTGATTCCTGTTTCTTAGGTACTTCCTGTTTATGAAATGTTACTGGCTCTTTAAGTGCTTCCTGTTTCTTATTTACTTCTCCTTCGTTGTTTTTCGTTTCTGCGGGAGCTTCCTCCTTCTCCTTCTTCTTCCACATTTTATCCAATAGACATTTTCCTGTCTTGGAGCAACAGAAACATACTAGCAGGCAGGCATACATAATTGCAATGAGTATAAAGGCTCCACACGTGCACATCGAGATCCACAAAGCGAGTTCTGGTGCTTGCGACATTACGGCCGCGTTCACGAGGCCTTGTGCTACGGGGGATATAAGGAATGGATACAGGACTGTGGACACTACTACAAGCCCCAACCATGCTTTCCTCCCCATTTTACAACGTGTCCATTTCTTCAAACCTCTTCTACAACTATTTCCTGCGGTTATATCCTGTGATTCCTTCTGTTTGTTCTGTGCCTGGTTTACTTTGACCTTGGATTTTAATTTTTTGCGCATGTCATCGAACATCGTGCCCTTCTGGCGCCCTGTCGCACGACCGTCGTAAATATTACGTGGGCCTCGTTTCCCTACATCCGTTCCATCACTCAACGATACGGCTGTAATTGCATCCGTAGCGTCATATGGGCTTGTGCCATTAGTCGATGATGTACCTAGTGTGCTTGCCTAACGTAAATAGAAAGAACGGGAATATATGGGATTGTTATGGAGTATAGAATGATATAGAACGTGAAAATAAGTGGAAAGGCGGCAGATTTATAATTATTATGAAGGCATTAAGATATTATCACAATAAATGTGTGGTAACTCCTCCACAATACAGTGGTTTGTTCCATACACCGTCAGCAAGTTGCCATAAGCACAGGGCACACATAAATATAGAAAATTTAACAAGGAAGGTCATTGTGTTTATTCGTTTCCGTTTAGAAAATGTTACAAGTTGCGATATGTTGTTTATATGTATCAGTTATAAAATTGTTTTTTCCTTCTTCCACATGTAGGTGTATAGATTATGCGCGTAATACTATTCTGTTTTAGCTAATACTGAATACAGATATAATCAATTTTGTAGGAGGTTTACTATTCTTACGTAAATACATAAATATGATTTGCATAAATAATTCAGGTGCACCCTAATATAAGGGAAGAAGGAAGCACGGAAGAACACAGAGAAGAACCCATTTCTGGTACATATTATATGATGCAACATTACTTAAAGGGGTCAACCTTTTTCACAAATATAATACGGGCTCATCAGCTACGTCGCCGTTTTAACGGTGTGATGGCACAAAACAGCATATTCAACAGAGAAAAATTCCATATGTGGCATAACACATTACTCTCTTTAAGTCAGGTATAATGGTGAGGAACATAATAAGCCTAAGATAAATTATACCCTTTACAAATGGAAACGACGAACACTTTTTTGGGTGTAGAGCCGCGTGCTCAAAGTTACATTGTTTCAGTGTTTAGGGGGGTCATTATTCTGATGTATATACGGGGAAGATTATATATGTATCTTCATTGGAATTCATGCAATCGTCGTTTAGGTTGTTCCCATTTTGTTATATATGGTCACGAATAATGCACGTGAAAATATAGTTTACAAACTTATATACGTATACCGCCTTTTTTTCTTTGACAAAGCGTGAATAGATTTAATGAACAGTGTAAGGAGCATATATATATAAAGGATAAGTATAGCGAACTTGTGGGCTTGGGGCTTGGGGCTTGGGACTTGGGCCGTGGGGCGTGGGGCTTAGGGTTTACAGTTTGCGGATTGTAAGGTTTCCGGAGTTGTAGGGTTTCCGCGGTTGTAAGTTTTGCGGGATTGTAAGGTTTCGAGGATTGTAAGGTTTCTGGGATTGTATGTTTTGAGGATTGTAAGGTTTTACGTTTGTAAGGTTCCGGTATTGTAAGGTTTCAGGATTATGTGATTGCGGAATACCGATTTAGGATTCGGGTTTTTGAGGCTTACTGTTTGAGGATTTTAAGGTTCAGGAATCCGTATGCTGCATTCCATGTTGCGGATTCAAGAATAAGGGTTTACGGTTCACGGGTTAAGAAGTTGTAGGGGGCTTAAGGTTTTAGGGATTTTTTTTTTTTTTTTTCTTCCGGAAAAATAAACCTGTATAATTACAAGAGTATATATATACCAATACTGCATACCATCGTACCCATATCCTTTTCCCATGAACACCCAAATATCTAATATATTGTGTCACACAAGCCCAACCTTCGTTGCCTCCATTGTACCATGTATGCGGCATTTAGGGATATAAATCCCTAGTAGTTTTTTTTTTATTTTTTTTTAAAAATAGTATCGTTTTTTTTTTTCTTGTTGCAGTTACTTCGGTATAGTACAGTTGGTTCGCGTTCCTTTGGGGAACGTGGGACGCGAACAGTGGAATGGCAAATGGCAACGGCTGTTGGTCCATTTTGCACTCGGTTCTATTTGTGCGAGCTTGTGTGTTGTGCGTGGTGTGAGCTTGAGAGTGCATGCTTACTTTCCACAGAGAATAACCAAGGAGGGCCACGGTGACGAAAGCGAGAAAAAACAGGAGCGGGGTAGTGGCGGTAAGGACGTCGGCGGTTAGGTCAGGGAAGAAGGGGCCATCGTGTTGCACATTCTGCGGAGATTGCCCCTTTGGACCTGGTGTTGGACCTGTTCCATATGATCCACCCACGTTACCCCCTCCTGTTGGAAGTGCTATATCTAGTTCGAAGTTGCCCTTTGAACCTTCTCCGGAGGTAGCACCCGTAGTACTAGTACCCGTGGAACCGGGTCCGGACGAAGCAGGGGTTTGGTGACCAGTAGAACTGGGACCAGTAGGACCAGCTGCACCAGAGGGACCTGTGTCATGTTTGTGACCATGTTGATCAGGATCAGTGGAGGTAACTGTTTCCGTGGGGGGCTGGGACTCTTGAGATGGTTGTGTCGTGGGAGAGGATGCGGCAGTATGCCCATCATGGGCTTTATCATCCTTAGCAGTATTGCGTGCCTCCGTTGGATCAGGTTTACTTCCACCGGAGGCTGAGGAACCGTTACCAGTAGTTACTGGTGCCGGATCTACAACTGTTGCTTTGTCAGTATTGGCAGTATCAACACCGGTGGTGTTCGTGTTGGAAGAATCATCCGGGCCATTAGAGGCCTTGCCTGCAGGTATCTCTAAATTCTGTGTCGGTTCAGTGCCTGCTCCTGGAGTTCCTGCAAGGGCTCCCAACGGGAACAAGTGGAAATATGAGTACACTGAAGTGTGTACGTTGTATGGCTACGACAATGATCATCGGTGACCGCGGTCCATTCGCTCATGGTTGCCCGCACGGTTGACCACCGGTCCGTGACTCGTGGTCCATCGCTCATGGTTGGGCACGGTGCGAACGGTGGTTGGCTGGTGCCACTCCGGGAAAAGACTCTCTCTCTGTGCCACACAACACACACAACACACAACACACACAGTATGTGTGTCTGTCTGTCGACGTCGACGTCCACATAGCGGGGCCGACCCATCGCTCCAAATCCCGCTCCCGCCCGTCATTCTCATTCGACGTTTGGTTTATCGCTCTCCGTGGTTTCTGTCTCCGGAAAATTTTTGTTTTTGGTGCTTTGTGGGTTTTGTTGTTTTTTTTTGTTTTCGACTATCTTTCAAGGGTCTGCGTAGTGCGTGCACCCCTGTGCCACAGTTCTCCCCATCACTAGAGTCACCTGTTCGGCCCGTTAAGCGCGTGTGTTCATTCTCGTTTACTCCATATTTCTCGATAAGGTCTTTGGAACGTGCACCGCTATTGTACGAGGAACTCGTGACTATGCTCACAGTGCCCGTGCTGTGCGGAAGTTTCACATTAACAAGATTATCATCATGCGGCTCACCTGGCGTGGTGGTTGCTGGTGGGTGCTGTCCTCCCGATGCACCTGTGCCTGACGACATTCCCCGCCGGTCCGTCCTTCCTGGCTGCAGCCCCCCGTCCCCGTGGTCAATGATCCATTGAACCCTGTGGCCGCCGGTGTGGACAACCGTCCAGAGACGCACCGTGTCGTCAGCCAACCATCAGCGACCGAAAAAAACATCAGGTTCGAAACTTTCTAGATTTTCCCTTTTCCCCCTGGTACCCATTTAGGAGCTCAAGGTGCAGACAGGCAGCCGACACAAGGTTCAGGGGATCCACCAGTAACACCATCTACAGCATCGGACCCGGCAGTTCCAGCTCCTGCTGCAGCTGCAGAATCCGCATCCACGTCCAGTGGAAGCGCCACAGCCAGCACTACTCCCTCCGACCCAATCACGGGGACTGAGGACAACAAAGTTCCGACCACACTGGCGGATACTTCTTCTGTTAAGGACAAAGGTCAAACTGGTCTCTCCGGTCCATCCGGTCCTCGTGGTCCCGCGGGTAAAGATGGTGAAGCCCGTAAACCCGCGGACGGTGCGGATGCCCGCGTCGATGGCGGCACCGACGACCCCCCTCCTCTCAATCCACCCAAACCGAACCCGAACCCAAATCAATCGGGTTCCGAAGGCGGCCCCACCAGCGGCGAAGCGTCCACAGGAGGTACTGAACACGGTGGAGGAGGAGGTCCAGGAGCACCAGGAGGAGGTGGGCGAGGAAGTGGCAGTTCCTCATCCTCTGCTTCAGAACCATCCAGTCCAGGTTCTACTGGTCTCCAAAACCCTGGTTCCTCAAGTCCTGCCTCCCCTCCTAGTGGTACTAACGATCACGATACCGGTCCTAATACAACAAATGGCGATAATGATTTTGGATTAGGATCAGAACCTCCCACAGCAGACGGTGAATTAGGAGGAAATTACGGCCCACGTACCCCACAGGTTGCCCATACTGTAGTCCCAACCAATGTTCCTTCGAATGATGGTGGCCCGGAAGCGCCCGACCTAACCGGTGTTGTCCTTACCGCCACTACTCCCGTGCTGTTTTTTCTCACTTCCGTCATCGTCGCCCTCCTTGGTTATTCCCTTTGGAAAGTAAGCGCGCACAATCTCACACACAATCACACAACGCGCACACGGCAGCCACAACAACACAGCAAACGACTTCGTTGACGTTGAGCGTCGCCGGCCACGACGGCAGCGGTAGCGACGACCA